GCGAAGATTGACCCTTTCTCTATTTCCAGAATTTTCTCTTCTCACCACTCCCTTTAGCCGGTTCAGGTGTGGCAGTCACTTCATCGAGATCGACTCCATGATCGATCAGAGTCTGCGCCAGGCACTTAGCGCTGTCGAAGGTGTTTGGCCTAGCAGCCAAGACATTTCCTTTGGTCGGCTGGGTCAGCCCCCAAATGTATCTTTCAATCTTTTTGCTTTCCGGGGTGACCATCCCCGGACAGAGAAGTGCGAGGTCTTCAAACCTAGACGTGTAAACAGCAATGTCGGAACCCTTCATCTTTAGGTTCCAGAGTTCGTGCTCCAGTTTCTGCATTTCGCCCCGTGGGCAGTACTCAGCAAGCATGAGCTCTTTCAAGCTCTCCCAACCTATAACATTTGCTATTGGCAGGGTTAGGGACTTGACCCGGCCATTCCACCAGGTCAATGCTTTGTTGGCGAAAGTGCAAGCGGCGAATTTCACCTTGTTAGCTTCAGAACAAGAGCAGATTTCGAAGATGGACTCGATCTTTTCGAACCACCGAGTCAGGGCAATAACACCCCCAGTGCCGTCGAAGGATGTGGGTTTTGCGTTCATAAAGTCTTTATAGGAGCACTCCTTCTGGTGTCCTTGACTACCTTCCTGATTCTGGGGATGAGTACCACTTCCTTGCCCACTAGATCCACCAGAATTAACTTGTGCCATCGCAGCAGTCACAACAGCAGTAACAGCTGCTTGGAACATAATGGGATCGAACTGAGGGGGCGGTGGTGGTGGTGGAGTGTTGTTATTCCTTCTGATAGGTCTTTTTCGGGGAGGCATCTCGTTCTAGAAACAATCAGGAAGAAGAGGATGGTAAGTCCTCGAGATATATGAAACAAAATATATCTCATTCTGATAATAAAGTGTTATACCAAGTGATAAACAAGGAAGGCTACTAATGCACGTAAGTCATCGCTAAGAAACGAATAGGTAGCAATACTAGGAATGAATTTCTACAATGTATTCGGCTCTAACCAAAATACTCCTATAATATTTTATGTTGTATGGATATCGGGTAAGTTTTAGGCCTGTTGCAACACCAAAGTCACTCCCAAGCACATGTTGGTCATGTCTCGAATGAATATAGTTGATTAGGCTATATTGACCCTATACATGATTACATAACTGCCCAGGTTTAACCGCAGTGTTCAACATCCAAATTACTTTTGTTTTGATCTACTTAAGACACGGATTCTGGTACTCGGGTATACTTGTATACTTTTTGTAAAAATACTCATATTTTAGAAGTATATTTTTAGTTCAGAGCACTTCAGTCCCTTTGTGTTTATAGTTGTATACCATGTAAGGTTCGGTATACTTAGTTCACTATAAACAATAGCTCTGATACCAAGCTGTGACACCCCGAAACCGATGGCGGAAACGTTCCGGTGCAGAGGACGCAATGCGTAGTATCAGAACAGTTGTATCATACTAAGCGAAGTAAACACAACCATTACATTATAATATGAATATTTACATTGTTCAAAACATGATTTATACATAACAGTATATAGCAAAAGCAAAAGACGTGACTTCAGAATATTCCGTCTTCTCCAAAAGTCGGAAAGAGTACCTGTCTATTGATGCCCTGAGAATACAAGCAGTTTTAAAAATATCAGCATAAAGCTGGTGAGTTCATAAGCGTTTAATTCTGGTGAAAGAAATGTTTCTTTGATTCTTTGAAAAGTTGTTTCCCAAGAAAATCCCATATTTTCTTATGAAAGAAGTCGATAGTTGATTTCCGATTATGATACGAGGTGTACAAGTATCTAACATACTTGTATCGATAGATGTAGTTTCTTTGAAAAACCCTTGTTACTCGCTGTGAGATGTATTAGCCTTATTACATAAATAAAACTAATAAAATAGGTAGTGAACTAGATCTTAAGGGCGTTACTGATGCCCTCTAGTAATCAAATCAGTTATTACTCTGAGGTTAGTTTACTGATTTCATTAGTACATAAGTAAATTCTCGTTACCTAAGTTATGAGTGCCATAACCGTACTTAGACTGGATAAGGCACGAACGGGGGCCAATATCGTTTATGACTTTGTCACCCCTGAACCTAATGGTTCCGCTGAACCTAACAGCGAGGGTGCGAGATAGTCAGTCCCATATAGATCTATACACAATAGTCACGCTCTCCCTCCAAGAGATTTTGGTTATAAGTCGTAGTCCTCCACTCACGAATCCGGGGGAGTGTTACCAAGGACATGTCTCAAACTTAGCCTAACAAATTTACAAGTAATAGTACGAAAATTCTGTTTATGATTTGCATGAATCCTTTAAGATAATACATATTATTATGTCGTTCACAAGTTTCTTGCTTTAGATTTGAAAACTGTTTCTACGAGTTGATTTCTTAATCTATTTGTAAAACGGTTTTCTGAGTTAAAAGCATACTGAACATAAAATCATTTTATGCAAAAAGAGATAACTTAAGCACAAGTTTCCTTCTACTTTTGCTTGTATTCCCCCCCTAAAAACATGAAAAACTCGGAAAAGGCATAGGGCTATGAACTCACCGTTTGACGTAGGATCTGGGTGTGTGATCGGTTACGAAAGCTGAGTGTCAACCAATGTTTCGTACGCAGGTGGATCCTATTAACATGTGATAACGCTTATGTGAATACACTTAGGGCATATAACCACTAATAGACACATGGAAACACCTTAGGGACATGAAAACACTCAGATTTAAGTGTTACAAACACCTATTGAAGTTCTTAAATGAGTGTAGGGCCTTAGATTTGAGTGTGAGGCCACCAAACTCAACTTTTATGCGTGTGCGGCCAGGTGTGCGGCCAGGGTGTGCGGCCATGCCGTATGTGCGGTTGCACATAGGAGTGTGCGGCCCGGGTGTGCGGCCAGGCTGCGTGTGCGGCCGTACAGAGGGTGTGTGCGGCCGTACAGTCCTCATTTGTGCCCGAAATGTCGATTTTTGAGGTGTTCTTGTGCTAATACTAAGTCCTACTCGTGAATGAAGGCCAAACTCTTCACTTTGGAGAGATTTAAGGGGGTGTGCGGCCACCTTATGAAGGTGTGCGGCCGTACACCTTCAAGTGACGAAGAACACGAAGAACACTATGAATTTTAGGCTTAGATTTAGGTGTTTTACCAACATAACAAGTTGAACGATGGAGTGCTTCACGTCTTTGAGGCCCTTAGAGTGTTCTTGGATGATGTTTCTAGAGAGAGAAAGTAGAGAGAGAGAGAGTAGGGTGCAGCCAAAAGAAGAAAATAGTGAATGAAGGGGGTCTCCTCCTATATATAGGGTCGGGTGTGAGGCTGGAGGGTGTGTGCGGCTGGGTGTGCGGCTGGCTGGCCGCACACGCGGGTGTGCGGCCGCACACACCTTCTTTGGTGTGTTTGGCCCGATTTTGTGATGCTACACACTTTCTAACCCTTCTTAAGACTCATTTCTTGGTTATACTAAGCCTAGAGCACTCATATGGACCCACAATTTCGATAAAAGATGATAAGAATCGAATTTAATATGGACTTAAAGATCAATTGCACGGGATAAAAGTTTCGGGTTGTCATACCAGCTCCTTGGAGTTGATCAAAGAGGTCGTCGATTCTGGGTAAGGAATAACGGTTTTTGATGGTAAGCTTATTCAGTTCACGATAATCTATGCACATCCGAAAGGATCCATCTTTCTTTTTCTCAAACAAGATCGGGGCTCCCCAGGGTGAGGAACTTGGTCTGATGAATCCTTTGTTGAGTAGCTCATTGAGCTGGCTGGATAACTCTTGCATTTCTGCCAGCGCTATACAGTAAGGGGATTTGGCTACAGGGGTAGCTCCGGGGATTAAGTCGATTCGAAACTCGACTTGGCGCTCGGGAGGGATTTCGGGAAGATCTTCGTGAAAGACATCAGGAAGGTTATAGACTTCGGGGATGCTCTCGAGGTCTTTAACTTACTGCTTCTCATTAACGACATGGGCTAGGAATGCATGACACTCCTTTTGCAGATATTTCTGGGCTTTGATGCATGAAATGATACGAAGGTTTGAGCTGAGTTTATCACATATATTATGAGGGCTTCGCCTCAGAGCAGATTGAGACGAATGGATTATTCATAACAAAGGATATCAGCACGATTGGGGCTCAACCAATCCATTCCGATGATGACATCGAAGATTTTTATGGAAACTGGCATAAGGTCGATTGGAAAGGAATGGTCGTCTAGGGTAAGGGTACAGCCTATGAATACTTCGTTAGTGCTCTCTTTCTTTCTGTTAGCCATCTCGACGGTAAACGTTTCGGTTAAAGTTTGGGATTTATGTTTGAGAAGATGATTAAATGCATGACTAACAAAACTTCTCTCCGCACCAGAATCGAAAAGAATGCATGCAACGGTGGGATCAACAACTGCCTCCTCCTGGCCCATCGCTAGCACTCTCTCTATGTTTCCAGCAGTTGTTGCCTTGGGTCAATTTTTCTTCTAGTGCCCAATCTCCCCACAACCATAACAGGCTTGACCAACACCTGCTCCAGGAGCCTGATTGGTTGGTTGGGCTGGTGTCTTGCAAAATCGAGTTGCGTGTCCCTTCTTACCATAACTATTGCACAACATCTCGCGGCACTGCCCATGATGATGAAAGTTGCACTTGTCACACCTTGGAAGGGTACCAGCATATCTACTGGTAGCTATGCAGTTATAGTAGTCCAAAATCAAATATCGGTCAAGGACCGATATTTGATATATAGGTTATCGCGGTGTGATATCGGTGGGATATCGATATTTTAATATTATGAAAATTATATATATTATAACCATTTAACGTAAAACATATATAAATATAATAGCAACTAGCATGTTCCAAAAGTGTTAATGATTAAAACATACATAAATATAATAGCAACTAGCATGTTCAAAAAGTGTTAATGTTTAAAACATATATAAATATAATAGCAACTAGCATGCTCAAAAAGTGCCATTATTTGACACATAATCTAATTGTAAGACATGAAATCTTCCTCCGAGCCCACATCACCCAAGGCATCCAATTGTTCATCAAGATCTTCCACTTCAACTCGAATATCATCATCATCCTCATCATCTCTATAGCGATCTCTTTTGCTCCTAGTAGTTACCCCAACTTCTTCGGTTCCTCCCATTGGCTCTCGTACAGCTGACCAAAGAAGACCATCTCTACCATCAACAAACTCTTGAAGCTCAACTTCTGTTGGTATAACCCAATCATCTTTTTCATCTACGTCTCTCAACAAAATAGGATCCAAAGATTTGTTGGCTTTTAACGAGTTGAAGCGTCTTTGTAACCTTGTGTTGTATTGGATGAATACAAGATCATTGAGCTTTTGTTGTAAAAGACAATTTCTTTTCTTTGAATGTAGCTGCACATAAAAAATAAAAGAAATATTTAATGAAGTGAATATGTTAAATGTAATATTATTTATAAAAACACTTGTTAGAGAGAACTTACATTGTCAAATGCACTCCGATTGCGTTCACAAGGTCAAGCACTACATGTTTGACTAAGGACTGTGATAGCAAATGTTTGGAGCAAAAGCGTGTCGATGCCATTAGTACGCCACCATATATCTACATTTTATAAATATTAAATAAATAAAGTGACTTAATAAGAAAAGGCTATAAAAACATGTGAATGTGTTTAAAATATTTTACTTACATGGTGCAACTTTCGTTCTAGCCCTTATAGCAGCTGAAGATCCAAATTACCCAATTGAATCAATGTATAGGTTCAAGTCCTGCCTCAGTTTATCATTGTCATCATTATCAGGCACTAGACGATCAATTGAAACATAAAGTCCTGTCGCAATGTCTCTGTTCTTTCGTATCTCCCTTTAATTTTCCCCATGAAAAATGGCAGGGTTCAGGTAACATCCAGCTGTACATTCAATGAAGATTTAGAAATAAAACTAAGAAATTCTATTAAATTAATAAATATAAAGTTTAATACATGCGCGTAATGGATAATGAAGTTGGTCAGTCCATCTTGTTTGAATCATAGCCCAAACTCTAGTGATCATTCTTTCATTAGGCGTCCCAGTGAGATTTTTCTTAATTTGATCCTTTGCTCTATCCATTGAATCATAGATGTAACCCATACATGGCTTCTCTTCTGTATCAACCAATATGACAACATCTACCAAAGGGGCTAGCACTTGACAAGCTAAGTGTATGTTATCCCAAAATTCATTTCTTGCCACTATTCACTCGACTTTCTTTCCAACTGCCTTCTTTGCAAAGTCACTTTTCCTCCATTCTTAGGAAACAAACAATACTTGAATATGATGTCGATTATCGTGGATACTCTGAATAGTATAAAACTGTGTTGCAAACCTAGTTACACAAGACCTGTGCAACTCCTTGTTCTTTGTCAACTTCCTCATCAGATTAAGAATCCTCCCGTGGTTGTAAATGTAAACCAAAATTGCTCTCGCATCAGTCAGAGCAGTCTTTATCTTTGGTATTTTCTCACCAATATCTCCTATCATGAGATTCACACAATGTGCTGCACACGGAGTCCAAAACAACTTTGGATGTTGTTCTTCTAAAATCTTTCCGACAGCTTTAAAGTTTGACCCGTTATCTGTAATGAACTAATAAATAATAAAAAAAGAGTTTAATTAGTAAAATCAACAAAAAGTTAAAATAACAATTAATAATTAGAAAACTAGAAAAGTAAAACTACTTATACAATGTTCTCCTCTCCAACATCTTTTATCACCTCATTTATCATCTCCACAATCAATTGAGCATTCTTCACATGCTCTGATGCATCAATTGATTTCAAAAATATCGTTCCAAGAGGACAATTAACTAAGAAGTTTATCAAAAATCTTCATTTCCTGTTTGTCCAAAAATAAGACATAATGCTACACCGATATTCCTCCCAATGTGGCCGGAACGAATCCACAAACTTTTGAGTATCTTCTAAACGCTTTTTCATCAGTGTGACGCGAATATTATGATAAGATGGAGTTGGCATACCTAATATAAATTCATAAACTTAAGTATGTAAGTAATAATCAAATAATGAATAAATCTTTAATCACATTTAAATACCTCTTCCGTATTCTCCAATTGAATTGATCATATCTTGGAAACTTTCGTCACGCACAGCATTGAAGGGTAAACCAACCGAAAAAGCCCAAGTTGCAATTTTATCCCAAGCATTCATCTTTAACTTCTCTTTTATTGGATTATTTTTATCCAATGTAATTTGCTTTTTTTTTCTTGATTAATCGGAAACATTGTATCGATAGGCCCTCTCACGTTGCTAGAACCCACAAATTTTTTCTTTTTTTAAACATTTCTTTTTACACTAACTTCTTGAACATCAACTTCTTCATCCTCAACTTCATCAGAAAGATCAACCGTGCTTGATCTAAGTATTTGTATATTTCTTTTCTTTTCTATATTTACCCTATCTTTTTCTTTGATTGATGCCATGACTCTCTTCTGGATATCCACAGTCACATTTGGACAACCGGTGACTTGTCCTCCGGTATGAGTAAGATGTTGCTTAACTCGTGTGATTCCTCCACTTATTTTCTTACCACATAATGTGCACCAAATGGTTTTTTTTCAAGGAATCTCTCCACTCTCCCCATTCCCATGCCATATCTCCATTTAAACATTTTGTGCCAGTTCCAGCATCAGATGATATTGTATTAGTGTTTGTGTTTGTTGGGTTTACAAATGCATGTGAGGATGGATCATTCGTTGTCAAATCTGTTTCAAAAACAGAATCAGTAACACAAAAATATTATCAAACTTGTATCAACTATCTAGTATCTAGTTTAAAATTAAGTATTTAACAAATTATGACAAATTGACAATAGCATTAATTCATTATCAGATACGACTTAATACCATATGTCCATCGAGGCATCGACTTAACAGTTAACACTAGCAGTTAACTGATTGAAAAAACTAAAATAGTTAATGTAACAACACCTTCGAGTAAAACAATGAATGAAGAAGAAAGGTGCGAGGGTAGCATTATAACAGTACGAGGGTATCATCATAGCTTCAATAGTTAACTTAATTTACTTATTTAACTTAGAAAATAGGATGGAGTAAAGAAGAAAAGTACCTCGGTGGCTCGGTAGACAAAGAACAGGCTAAACAGCAGCACCGTAGCTCCTTAATAGCGGAAGGGTAGCATTGAATGAAGAAGAATAATGGAACAAGAGTCGTCGCACGTTCCAAATGAATCGAAATTGTTGTTGCAGCCTTGCCGGAGGTTGAAAGCGAACAGAGAAAGACGATCAGATTGACTATTCTAGGTTTAAGTTTTGGTTTACAACTTTAGGGAATTAGGTGTATGTGTAATTGTGTATCCGTGTATGGGCTAATCTGCTAAGGATTCACATAAATTAACTCCAAAAAATTAATGTTTTTGGGCTTAGCTACATTTTGGCTCGAAAATATAATTTCTGGAAAATCGGTGATATAACCGATATTTATGAATCAAAATATCGGTCAAATATCGGTGTTTATCGCCGATATTCGTGGTTTCGATATTATAGGCCGATATTTGATACCGATATTTTAAGAAGTACCGATAACAGATATCCCACCTGGATATCACCTGGAAATCGGCGATTTTAACTGCATAGACTGGTAGGTGCTTGAATTGTAGGGGCAACAACAGGAGTGGTAGCAGCATGAACTGCCACTACTTGTTGTTTCTTGGAGGGCTCCTGCGAAGACTGGCCCTTACGCTTGTTCCAAAAATTTTTCTTCCCACCGCTCGCCTTTGTTGGTTCGGGAACGGATGCCGCTTCATCAAGATCAACCCCGTGATCTATGAGAGCTTGCGCCAAACACTTGGCACTATCGAATGTGAGAGGTTTAGCAGCCAAAACATTTCCTTGAGTTGGGGGCGTCAATCCCCAAATGTACCTCTCTATTTTCTTGCTTTCTGGGGTGACCATCCCCAGACATAGAAGAGCCAGATTGCAGAATCTAGCTGTATAAGTAGCAATGTAGGAACCCTTCATCTTTAGGTTCCAGAGCTCATCCTGCAACTTCTGTATCTCGCCCCTTGGGCAGTACTCAGCAAGCACTAGCTCTTTTAAACTCTCCCAACCCATGACATTGGCTACTGGCAGAGTTAGGGATTTGAACCGGCTATTCCTCTAAGTCAATGCTCTATCGGTGAAGGTGCAGGCGGCAAACTTCACCTTGCTTGCCTCAGAACATGCGGAAATCTCGAAAATTGATTCGATTTTCTCGAACTACCGGGTTAGGGCAATGACTCCTTGTGACATCCCAGAATTTTGGTCAAAGACTGTGAACGGTCAAGTTTAGAGTAAGTCTCTTTGTGTTTGAATCATTGAGTTTTGGTGCATCTAATATAAAATAAATGAGTTATTTCAACTATTTAAGATACCAGATGGTATCTTACTTGCAACTGTGTAAATTGACAAACAAATCAAACAGCTCAAATTGCAACCTTAGTTAACATGACTGAAAAACTAAAATTTTGTATTAAGCAGTTTTGAGCAATACAAACACTCTAGTCTCGTAGTATGTGTTTCCCTGATTTCGAAAATATAAAAAACGGATTTTATACGCAAAAGATACGATCGTTTTAAGAATTAAAAACCAGTAAAATACTGATTTTCTTGAAACCACTAAAATCATTTCTATCCGTTGAGGAACTTTTACCCCTCAACTGGAAATTCCGAAAACATTTTCAGACTCAGGCTATAGCCTAATATTTAATTTTGTATTTGAAATATTTTTATAAAAATATTTATAAAAGTCGAAAATCATACGTTTTCAGCTTAATTAAACGCAAAATTTTAAACGTCTTTTCACAAAGATCAGTATAACAAAACTCAATCCCGTTTGCATTTTTGGAATCACCACGACCTGAAAATTTAGCAGACACTTTTAGAAAATTTATATGAACTGCTACGAGGACACGAGAATAGAGGTATACATCACGATAAATAAATATATACAAAAATATATTGTAGTTATTTTTATGAAAATGTTTATAAGATATATATTGGCAATGCCACTATAAACGTATATATATTTTGGTGTCGTATGCGACTTCAAATGAATCCATATTAATAGTATAATCACAATGTATATCTGTTATATAATTAAATCTTATATAACAACACTAAATATATATATATATATATTTTACATTCCTATCATATGAGTTCAAATTTATATACATGTAATATACAAGTTATGTAACAAACTCATAATACATACATAGATATAGTATGAATATACATCAATATATACTCAAATTCAATTAAATACTTCTATTCAATCTACAAAATATAAATAAATAAATAAATAAATAAATACAAATAAATAAATATATATAAATTAATAAATAAATAAATAAAGACAACTTCTATGTTTCCTCCAAGCTTCATCCTACGCAAAACCACACTTGCACTTTTTCTGTCAAACAAGGAAACTTCTTCTGTCAAACAAGTAAGGAAAAGGGAAGGTTAACACTCTATCACAATCATCGTACAAATACAAGCTGTAACTGATAAAAATATAAGATAAAAATATACCCTGAACTCTTCTTCTTCAACCTTGTAGAACACTCAAACGTATTCCTTCCTTGAATACAGCTGTAATGAATCACCAATCTATATCCAATTTTCTTTCTTCCTTCTTCTTCATCCTTTTCTTACCACAATAGTAGGAGCACAAATGGTTCTACTCTTGACCCAACGATCAGCCAAGAATCGGACCCCATCCTTCCCTCTTCCCTTGTTGAACATTGAACCCAAACACCACATCGATTTCTGTGAAGCAAAACAAACAATCCCCTGTAAAACATTAACCCCAGAAATCCATTCTATTTATCCATTTCTGTCAAGAATAATCAAACCCAAAACCATCAAGATTCCACTGATTTACAGTCAAAACAAAGGAAAGATAAACAAAATCATAATCAAACCAAACACCGATTCATGCTCAAAAACAACCAAACACTCATTGGGTTCTATCGATCACTACCAGATATCAAAAAGAAAAGTGAAAAAGAAACGACATGCACTTATCTCTTATCGATCGAAGCAACCGAACAAGCCTGAGTACGTCTATTTCCTTCCCTTTGTGTGTGCTGCCGGGTCAGAAATGGAAGAAACGACGACGAGGCTGCCAATGCAGCCCCCGTCGCACCACTCTCTCCATTTCCCTCTTCGTGTTTCCCCATCAAGACCACCGAAACTTTGATTGCCTCCGATTTCCCCTTTTTTTTCTTCAATAAATCGCACACTTGCGATCGTTTCCTTCCCTCTTGGACCGGCCAGACAGGGATCGAGCCTTTTCCCTTTGTTTTCCTTCTCCACGATTCCCGTCGACCACAGAGCTTCAAGGGTATCATCTTGCTTCTACTGCTGTTTGCGATTCCGGTCATCACACTTCACAGTAGGACAAGAAAAGCACGGCTCGCTGCTCTTACCTCCGTCTCTTCAGCCTTGTCGAACTCTGGAGACGATCGCAAACGGTCAAGACATCCAGGTAGCAGACCAAGCACCTGCAAGTTTCCTTCTCGCCATCTTCAGTCGCTTCCCCTTGAACGATCGATTACTCGACATCGATCGACCTTTGTTCCTTTACCCGATCAAACCAAAGAAACGGGGTAAGAGCCCTGATCCTTTTTGTAAATGGATTCACTTGTGTGGATCGGTCATGGAGCCTCGATAAAACAAATGGGTTTTGATTTTGACCCGGTCAAAGGTCAAACCAAGAATCAAATTTTCATTAATATTAAACAGAAATGGTCCCTCCCCCAGAAAAACCTAATAAACTAAGTCCTAAAACCCTAAATAGTTTTCAAAAACACATATTTAACCCCTATCTTGAGAATAATTCTCAATATCAATCCCGAAAGTATGATTTTGGCAAAATCAAACCCTAGAGTTTATTAATTTTAAGATGGACCACCATATACTTAATAATTAATACCAAAACTACCATTTGGTTTATTAGGAAATACAAATATACTCGATGATTTGTCTTACGAACGAGGAATGTCAAGTAATAAATCTCACAACAAGTTTCCCAAAGGAATCCGAATATCGTACGAATCGAACTCACGCTTCAAGGGTGAGTGCTTACGGCCCCTCTTCAATATTTTAATTATTTCGGGGGGGGGGGGGGGGATACATGTGCCTATATGTTTTGTTTATATAAATATATTATCTTTTATACGAAAATACAATAAACATAATTTATAAAAATATTATTATTTAACAAATTACCAAATTGTTAAAAATAAACTAGTAAAAACTTTTCGTATACATGTTATGATTATTTTATTGTGAAATAACCATTTCACACAACAATTACTACACGATACAAAGTTTTATGATTTTTATATTATAACAAGTACGTTATGAAACTGTGTACTATTTCAATGGTTCAAGATATTACTATGCATGTATATTTATATGTTTATATGCATAAAAGTTTATACATGTACACATGTGTTGGGTTATGAGCATTCTAACACTCCTAAGTGTACATGCAACCCTAAATACCTTGGATCTATGTTTTCTCTATTATACATACAATTATGAACATCCAAGGTATTATCCTAATCTAGCATACAAAATAATAAATATAACAAGATAGAATACATACCTCTTTGATGTAGAATGTCTTCATGAAGCTTGAGTGCCTAGTGCCCCAAGTGTGACACCTCAAATGGTTCACACAACACCAAATACACTTGGAATAAGTTGAGAGAAACTTGAACACTCCTTGAAATCGTCTAGCCCTCACACTCACACATTAGTCCCCGATTTCTTGAGCCATGGGATTCTTTTATATGGTGGCTATTAGGGTTACACCATGTAACTCATAACTTTACCCATTCCTTATGCTCCATGGATTTTAACCTCCATGGAGTATCCATGGGTCACCCCATGGATTTAGTCCAACATAAGGAATCTTGGATCACAAGCCCACATATATAAGAATGAATGATTTACACAATCAACCCATATATTTAATTAGTCTCCTTTTGATCACTTAATTAATTCCAAATTAATTCTTGATCAATACTAATTAAATAACCTTATTAATATATTAGAACTTATAATATATTAACCAACCTTAAGTGTTATTTCTCTCATTATAGTCTATCCAAATGCATGATGCCATGCAACCCAAATGGACCATGCCGGGTCGGGTCAAGTCTTACGAATTATAGTTATGGACTTAGACATTAATCCAACAGTCTCCCACTTGGATAAGTCTAAAACTATTATTGCGTATGACTTCAGGAACCGATCAGCAATCGTAGCTCTCAAAAGCTTCTATCGAACTCTGACCTTGTCGATGAACTCTGACCTTTGTCAATGACTTGTCCATTAGATAAGGGATCATATATTCCTCCATTCTAGATATCATATGGACTGAGACATGGATTATCAATCATTCTCTCTGTCCATTTGTTGTTTCCCGATTTCCGATTCATGATGACTGACTGATTGAACAAATCAAATCAGTCCTGGCTTGGCCAAGCACTCACATGTATCATCTTTAAATCATCGAGGGGCCCACAGATATCGCTTTTATCCCGAAGGTAAAAGGAATGGATAAACTTCGACTCATATGGCTTATTCTACTACTTGTTGAATCATACACAAAGGCACGTTTTATAACATCGAGTTACCAATGCGTTTTCGTGCAATCAATGTATAACCAACTCATACTAACAACTCATATCTCTAGGTTTGAAGAATATAAGATATTATCGTCTCATGATCACTCGTGATAAAATCCATGAAGTGATTCAAATGAGCGCGGGTTGAATCCAATACTCAGAACTTATGAGCACTCATGAGTGTTGTAACACCACTTTTGTCCACCTACTTGGACTTCTACAAACCATCCCATGACAGTCTTGATTCATATCTACTTCCAACATATGACCGACTGTGGATGGTTTGAATAACTTAATCATTCAGGAAGAGCGACTTAGTTATTCTGGAAGTCAAAACATGCAAAGTGAAACACAAGAATAAATGAATCAAATATGGTATCAAACCCTATGAATATAAATAAACACTTTTATTTATCACCATACAGATTACTCATTATTCATTGTTTCGGTTTTATCAACTTTATACTTGAATTTAAAACAATAGTTGTCCCATGCTCCAAGCATGTACACTATGTTTTCTAAACACTAGTCATGCCATACACCAAGTATGCATACTATGTTTGTCTATGATCTTTACTTTGTAAAATAGATCAATTGAACATCACTCCAATGATCCTCTTTTCACAGTCCCAAATCCTTACTGCAAATGCAAGAATTCCAAATTCATGCCATTTACTGAAATCTGTTAGATTCTAAACTTATATGCATTGATCCTCTTAATGATTATGCACGAAGTCAGAAAGACTTGACAACAATCATTACAGAGCATTCCAAAGGAGATCAGCTCCTTGGAAACATCCTTCTTTCATTAAGTTTCCTAATCTTACACAGATTGAATAATTTCTAACTTTGAAACATTTCCATATTCCATTTTGACTATCACTTCTAAACAAGAGTTGCCTCCTTACAGATTATGTCAATATGGTCCTCCAGAATTAACATTATACTTCCAACTGTCCTTGAGCAACCAATCTTTGGTAAACCTTAGATTGTCCTCGACAATTGCTTAATCATTTTAGTTATATCCAATTCTAGACCTTTTCCCTTCATAATGCCCCAGGCATTTGGAAAATTTTAGAAAGGATGAATATAGCACATGTAATCGATCCTATATCCGAAGCATATGGGACACGATTCATGATGTCTCACATAAAGACTAAACCAGTCTTTTGCTATAATATTTCCATTTCAATTTGCCAAGTTCTCAAAATTCAGATTATGAAAAGGGATGCCGTATCATAATCGAATTTTAGAACGCAAATAATGGACTCATATAGAGAATTTCCTTATGTTGAGCCATTCCAACATGAAATTCATATATATATCCTTGATTAAATACGATTAAAATCTCAATCTAAGCTTTTAGAATTGAAATGAAGTATAATTTCATCTCCCTTAATTATAGCAAAACAAGTTTTTCAACCCCTGCAACCTCACGAATTGAAACTTTTGTTTTCTATAATTAACATTGCTAACTTGCAACCTTTGTCATAATTATCATGCTCCCACTAACATGATGATTATTAGCATAACACTTATGCTCCCACTAGCTTTGACATGTACTCAGAAATCAGCTGACTTTCTTACCAAAGTTCAGATTTCTGATACTTGATTGTTTTGATAAAACTTTATCAAAATCATACACCTCTCTTAGATAGCTCACATGTGTGTCTAAACAATTTTAGAACTATGAAAAGGGATGTCGTAATCATAGTCTCAATTGTTTAGACCTTTGCCACTTCTCACAAGTCCATGTTAGTGTGCCGGTAAACCACACACGCTCCACTAACGACTTTGAGAATGCAAATATCACAATTGCTATCTAGCTAAAATCTACTTAGTGAAAGTGTTTCCTCACCATTATTTTCATGAATCGGAGAGAAACCTTATGACACTTAGATTTAATAGTGTATGTGTTCTTATCCATGTGAATTTGTCAAAACCATAATCACAAGACAAGGTTAGTGACAAATCCAAACTCATATTGATTAACTTGTGCAATCTTAAATTCTTGCCATTTGGCAGCTCAGGTGCCTGCCATTGCTTCCAAGTAGTTGTGCAACCAATTGAGAACTCTCAGAACTCCTATGCAAAGCCAACTTGAATAGGCACAAAAATTTCAACACGATAGGTTATAAACCTCAAGTCGTGTGCTAGTGAAGGACTTTAGGTTTTATTCTTGATTAAGTCTTGAAACTTTCAAGAGCTTTAAGACTCCCACTGTCCTCTTGACATATAAGACTCCCTTGTCAAATATTCAAGAGATAGTGCAGATTCTTTATCAAGACTACACTTTACACAATTGGCCTAAGTTGGTCTCTGTTTTATCCAAAACATCACAACTTACCAATTTCAAATGTACAAGAGTAGATAACCTTTTACTCTTACATTTGACTAGTGTTAACAAACCCTCTTTAAGATATGTCACTCAAGTTACAATCTTGGAGTATGACTCTAAGAATTGTTTTGGAACGAAGTATGACTCATCTTTTTGATTTAACCATTTCAACAATTCATGACTCCTCTTCTTAGTCATAAGAATGCACTAAGATTACTTTAG